TGTTCTGGCATGAAATGTAAGCTTTCAAATTAATAGGAGTATTACTTACAGTGGATTATCAGGTTTTAGGTTTCATGACTCACCCATACCTGAAGTTATATGAATTATTCCACTTAAATTAGTCACCCGTTCTAAAGATCCACCTGCCTTTTGATGGGGCTTCTCAACAAACATTTTTTAAAGATTCCTGGGAACCTGGTTGCTGTTTAAACTCATACTGACAGGAAGAGAAACCCAAGTCATTTGGAGGAAAATGAGAATGAGTCAGACAGGTTGCAAACAAGCCCATCATTAGGTCATATTCTATGGATTATTTCATTTAAGAGGCTACAGTTATCTCTCATTTCATGAGAAAACTGCTAAGGAATACCAGACAGGGTGGAGCTGACGGGTGAAAGGTTTTGACCTGACAATAATGACACTTTACAGTAAACCTTCCTTCCTGTAGATCTGGATTTCAGACTCTAAGATGGATTTTTAAAAATTATTATAACATCTAGGCTGACTTAACATTTCCATGTGGTCTAAACCAATAAACTAGAGGAAACTCATTTTGGGTACTTTTCAAAATCAAAGACCTGAACTTTAATAACATGGATAAATATAGGCGCTACACTATTTATAAAATAAAAACCTTTAAAAAAAAGAAATTATTTCTTCCAAAATGAAGCTTGAGTTGGTTTGTTAAGTTGATTGAACAATACTATTAAGAGTGAAGCTGTTAAAGGAAGGGGAATCAAGTTACCCTTTCAAAATAAGGATTTTTTAAAAACATTTTATTTGTAATTACCAAATCTTATACAGAACAACTATGTTTGCTTTTTTTTTTTTGGACAGCAACTTTACAGAATTAATCCTAACAAAGGCCTACAAAGCATCAGATTGGCATGAATGAAATAAAAATAAAAAAAACATCAAAAGACAAAATAAAAGGGCAGGTAGATTGTTCCGAGAACTTATTAGAGGGCCCCAGATTTTGTGGAATTTGTTGAATGAACCATTGAAACTACATATTTTCCAGTTCAACATGTGTAATCCAGTGAAGGTGGTATGGAGGAGCAGGAATTTTATACTTAAATAAGAAATTGTGCATCTAGCTAGTAAATAGGAACAAGCAATCTATAAATGAGCACAGGGAACAGATCCTGTTGGACCCGAGACAGGCCAAAAAAAGCAACCAAGACAGGAGGTAAGATTTCATAAAGACAGCAATTAGAGATGACTTTTTTTTTAAAAAGGACAGCGAAAAAGGAACAAGTTTTGGAAAAGACCAGAACCTATGAGACACGACAGAGGTCTGTTCACATCGATCATACGATGGGTCTACATTCAGCAATCTTCTTGCTAGTTTAGCTTTTGAGAAGTGAAGCCTATGAACTACTTAAAGCTACATCAAAGCATTTCTGGGAAATATTCAATTAAATAAAAAAAATATTATATTAATTCCAAAGGGAAATTATTATTGCAGTAAGTAATAAGGGTTTTTTTAGCCAGTTTTTATAGGAATAGGCAGGAAAGATCTCCTGTAGCTGTCTGTATTGCATCGGATCTGGAGAATCATCTCACTAAAGATGCTCTGTTGTTGTTTAGCAATTTAATTAAGGGGATGCTCATTGTTGTTTATATAAAAGTTTTTTCTTTAATTGAGGATTCATATTTGAGAATATCCTCTTCATTGTTTCCAGAAGAGTTCCTGGAACAGAGCCGGCCTTATATGAAAGGAGTGCTGATTCTTTTGAGAGTCAAATCCAACACTTTATCTGACAACGGGAGCTTGAAGTAATTTCTCAACTTAGATATCGATCATGTGGGAATAAATAAATGACATTTTACTCTTTGCCAGTGCATTGATGCTTAACTGGAGATTTAAAGTGAAATCTCTTAATTGTAATTATCAAAAATGATTATTATTTGTCAGACCAAAATTTCCGGACAAGTATTCAAAGTTTGGAAAAGTATTATCAGCATACAGGTTTTCAATACCATGAATGCCTTTGTCATATCAACTTTTAAAGCCTCTGTACAGCGAATATAGCTGAAAAAGAGGATTATAATAAATAATTTTATATAGAAATGTTTTTAATTTTCAAGATTGTAATTTATTCATTAATCAATAGAAGTCATTAAGAATAAACTATGTCGGCCTTTCAAAATAAAAGCAAAATCCAAACAGTAACATGGCACTCTAATCATTGATCTAAATATTCCTTTATTACTTCAATGGAAAATTTTTGAAACCCTGACTGTGAATCGGGTTGCATTATAAACTACGCTATATGTTCATGTGGGAAAAAAGCCTGATAGTATTTAAAAATGTTGCCATTGTGATCATCAGACCATCTAAACTGGTTAGAAAAAATGTCAACAGCCGGTGGATATGTCTTCTGTATGGATCCCGTTGTGTGGATGCTGGATTTGTTTAAATCCAGGATATAGCAAAGCACGTGGATGTTTATTTCAGGTTCCGCGTTCCTAAATTAAAATCACTCAGCCACGTTATGCGTAAATCCAGGTGGAAGTATAAACATCCTGGCACCGTGAAAATAATAAACAACCCCATAGTTTGCCCTGTAGTGAAGCAGTTATACAACAGCCTTTGATAAATTCAAGTTAAGACTTTATTTATTTACCAAAAAAAAAAAAATCAATCTCAGGCAAAAGAAACAGTTCAGTAATAAAAAGAAGGAAATTGTTCTTTTTTCAGATTTTTTTTCTCTTTTAATTAAGGCTTAATGAGCAACCTCCAATTACAAACCCAGCTCAGTGTTTATCAGGATAAATAAATAACAGTTAAAAAATAAATAGACTATTAAATACAGTATAAAACAGAAGACAAAAAGAGAAGAATTTGCAAAGGAAGTAGATGTTTGCTCTTATGTGAAGAAAGTTTTGAGAAGATTTGAACTCAGAACAAAAACACAAAAAAGCAGAGGAATATGATTAATACTGGATATCATACAAAATTTACAAAATGCAACTCAAACCAATAAACCCAAATATCAACAAAAAAAATAAATCCCTTTTTTAGAAGATTGGTTTCTGAGCTACAACAGAATCATACATTTGACAAAGTAAAAATTCAAGTAAAGGAAGATGTACATCAGTAACACACTGGATTTGCAGTCATGGATTAAGAGCACTGGGGTTTTAACTACAAACTATTCGCTACACAGAAGAGCCGCTTTATTTAAAGAGAGAGAGGCAGACTCGTGTTTATCTTCTATAAAGAGGCACTTTGAAAAGCTTTTAAAATGTCTGGAAAGAGTCAAGCAGGTCATTCCTAAAGCATTTCATTTAAACAAATCAATAAACCACTTTGATTGATTGAACATTTAAAAAGAGGCTGACAAAATGTAAACTAGTAAAACTGCAAACATATCTTGGTTGTGAGGGATTCTTTTGTTCTTTTAGTTAGTTTATGAGTATTTTACTTCATTCTTTTTTATTTACTTTTGAAAACATCTGCAGAATTCAAACTTAAATATAATTTCAATTACAAATATTGACTTTTTACATTCAATGGCTGTGTTCTAATGTCCGCCCTTAGCCCTATATAAGGCACTATATAGTGGTTGCGCCATTTTAAATGAGTGTCCAAACGTCTAGAGGATGAAAAAGTAGCGGAATTGAAATTTCCCTCAATGCAACTTGAAAAGTAGTGATCAACCGTGGTCATTAGACCAGCAGATATATCCCAGAGTGCTTTGCGGGTGGAGTTCTCCTTGCAAAGCATTATGGGATTTGTTGTCACAGCTGCCCACTGTTGCCATAGGCTGTCGCTACCCGACAGCGGCAACTAATAACAACGATGGTGCAGGCACCGCACAGTGGAGGAGTTACATAACCAACGTGGAGCGAAACGTGGTGATCATCTGTCCCAACGGTCAGTTAACTGAGTTCGCTAAAAAGTCCACTATATATAGTCTCCGCTCTATATAGTGATTGAGGGATTTAGGGGTTAGGGGTTAGGGTGAACATTAAGACACAGCCAATACCTTTCTATTATTCCCTCATACTTGGTCCACATTTTTATCATATTACAAACATGAACTTCTATTTATTTTTAGTTTAGTTTTTTTTTTTTTTTGGAGATAGTTTAACACAAAGTAGTGAAAACCTACAAAGTGGAGGGACAAAGATTGTTATCAACCTTAAACCACTACTTTTACATCTCAAAGCGAATCCAGAAAATGGCATGAAAAGGATAATAAAATTATGAATTGGTCTGGCATGAATTTATAGTTAAGTTTAAAGCAGCATTATGTTATAAAACAAAAAGCAGCAGAGATTTACCTCTCAGACGGAAGAATTTTTTTACATGACAGCTGTTGAGATGCACATGAAATCCTGCTTTCAGTGTGGCGAGAAAAAATCCACTGTTGCCAAATAGACATAAAAGTCTCCTTTGCTGCTAATCCCAAACCACATAGGGTATTGAATAAACATCTGAAAGAAGGCACTCTTTGGTATAATGAAAGCAAACATAAACCCATCAGCCAGCATGCAAAGATTTTTGATTTGAGAAACTAATCCTGCACATCATCCAAGCCACACATTCATTAGTGAAACATGGCTGTGGCTGCATCATCCTGTAGAGATGCATCAGATATAGATATTCTCAATTTAACATGCTGTAAAAAATATATTTATTTTTCTTCCACCTCAAATGTATGAATGCCTGTGTTGGTCTTTTACATGATATCACGTCAAAAAGTTGAAAAATGTTTAACAGTTCAAAGGATAGAAATACTTTGCTCATTTTTTTTTGGTTGTAATTGCCCTTATTGAAGATGAGTCTTGCTCCAAGTGCTACATTAAAAATTCACAATCATTCTTTTTGTAACAGTTAATGGTGAAAAATAAAGAGGCTAAAGTCAATTTGTAGAAAAAGTACCTCATCATTCTGTTTTTTTATGAAAATAAAATCTCCATAGGATGATAGCTTAATTTCTGCGGAGGACTAGCAGGAGTCCAGTTATTTACATGGATCCTGTTTTTTGTTATCTAAACCTGGACCAGCTCAAGCTCATTACAGCCTCTTTGTGCTTCCTGATAACAGATGGAGCAAAAAGCCAATCAGTGACAGATACAGAGACGTAGACACCAACCACATCCTGAACCATGACTGGACTCTGCTGCTTGTTTATAAAAGTTCTCCCAGTTTGTTTGCAACAAACTCAGGGTGCAAATATAAAGCTGAAGCAGGAGCAGAAAAAATTGACATTGAATTAGAAAGTAGCTGTCTCTGTAAGAAAGTACAAAAATAGCTATCTAAATATCGAAAGTCTTTTGTTAGGTATGTGCTCCATTTCCCCGTGGAAAAGATGAAGAAATCTAGAACATACAGTAAGTCTCTCGGACTGATTTGGCCCATAGAGTTGGCACATTTTCTCTTGGTTCGGCTGATCCAACGCCATCCCTGCAGAGACGCTCCCGCTCAGCTTGGAGTTCAAAGGGCTTCCTGTGTCCAATTTGACATCCCTTTTAATTTGGAGGATCACACAGCAAACACGCTCAGGGTGCTGGTCTGGTCCTTTAAGCCCAAGATGCTGTAAGCTATTCTTTTCAAATGGCCGGGCAATCTCACCCCGATGTTCTTAATATCCCTGTGAAGGAGAGACAGGACAGCATTAAAGAGGAGCTGCACACAGATTTTAACTTTGGCTGATCTCCAACTCTTTTCCACATGCATCCTTCCTGCCTACGAAACCTTGGAGTAATCACTGACTAATTTAAAGTGATGAAATGCCTGCCTGGAGCCGAACACATTCATTTCTAACTTTAAATCCGCCTGGCTAGGTGGGGTGCATTCCAAGTTTGCTCTCTGCTAAAGTTTAACTCATCTTCCGTAATAAAGGGCATTACCGGGGGTTTCACTTTGCACAAGCCCATGCAAAACCTGCAAAAGCCTTGCATAAACACCAGTCCAGAGCCGGGGCTTTAATTACAGCTTTAATTGCTTGACAAGGATTCTCCCTGTTGACCATGAATCACTTTGTCTGGTAAGCAGAGGGTGGATCGTAAATGATTGGTGGTTTTCAGAGAGTGCTACCAGATGCCCTGCGATGGAAACAAGAATCACACCATGATGCATGACAAAAACTTCAAAAGGGTTTGTGTCGGCTTTGTGGTGCAGCCATCTTCCCAAGGATCCGGAGGTTTTAACATATATGTTGCAATTATTATAAAATTGTATGGCACGATATCGCAAAAAAATCTTACCAGAAAGAATATATAAGTTATTGTCATAGTCTGTCTTTCAAGCATCGCACATTAGTCCGGTAAAATAAATGTAAGCATCCAATGAGCTCTGTATATAAAAGTGAGTTTTTAACACTGTATTGTCGATGGCCACCATCCCGCATGTTTCGCTGGTTCGACACACCTGATTCAGATGGTTGCAGTTCAACAAAAGCCTGTCAATCAACCATCAACGGAAATCAGGTGTGCTGAAGCAGAGAAATATCTAAAACATGAAGGACATGCAGCCCTAAAGGACTGAATTTAAAACTTCTGATCTATTTCATCAAGTTTTGAGATTCACTTTAAAATGTGAAAGGAACTATTTGAGGTGTTTTACTGGAGACATTCTGGCCTTTAAGCAACACTTTTGACCCAAGTATTAGCTTGGTTTGAAATATATAACATATATAAAAAATATAATGATTTTTCACAAGATCTCAGGAGCTAACAGCTAAGCTAAGCCAAAAGTTGCTTTTAGGCAACAAAATAGACTAAATAGAGTTTACAAATCGATTTATCTGTTTATTATGTTTCCGATTAATTATCCGCTAACCAAAGGTTCCTTATAGAAGATTTTTTACAAAATTAAACCAGGTGAAACTAAAACTTTTCCAATTGAGGAATTCTGGATAGAGCATATTGACAGATCGAAACCTTAAATGCAAAATGTTTATTTATATTTGTTATATCTATATATCAATGTTGATATAATTACTGCTCTAAGTGGGTCACTCTGTCAGCTAAAAGCATGTTATAGATTCTCTATACTCCATTTAAGGATTAATCTATTACTAAATTAGTTGTATATAAGTTTCAATAATCGATTAGCCTGAATAATTGTTTCAGCCCTAAATAAGACCATTACCTAATCAGTCATATACTGATCGCTGATGTAGTATTTAATCTAGAGGGTGAATGTCATCTTTTCTTTTGTTAATCCCATGATTTCTCAGTCTAGTTTCCAAAAACCTGAGGCAGACTTCAATTTTGGAAAGTGCTGTGCTGCCAATTGCCTTCATATGTGCCTTTAGTTGCTAAAAGGCACAGTGTTGCTCTAAAAATGGCTCTTTTAGCGACATCTGGACCAAACTGGTGCCGGAAAATTCTACTCAGGTGACAAACTCTTTAAAATACGCTTTGTGATCTTTTAACTCTCATCCTGTTTTGTTCTCATGGTTACACCCCTAAACACGTACAATGGCGGAAAACAGTAGCTTCTTTTTAGCCATGTGGTTAGAAAGCTTTCTGGCCTTCATTATTCCTCCAAAGGAACCTTAAATTATGTGTTTCACCGAAGCATTTTTTTTTTCCACCAACGGTTGCGCCTGTTTGGGTAAATTGCCTCCTGGAGGACTCCTACACATCATGGAAGGTGTAATTGCTTTGAACTGCAGTCTGAAAACGCTCAGGGGGGGGCACAGAAGCACACCTCTTCAGTCTTTCAGGTCTTTAGATCGAGTCGATTTATTTTAGCTGTAAGTTGATCATTCTCTACTTGGCAGTACTTTCTGCCACTCTCCTTTAATGTTTGGGAAGCCACAAAAGTCTTATGACCTGAACAAGCAAAGCTGGTGGTTTTAGGGGCTCCGGCAAAAGTGCTGGCCTATGTGCGTCGACGCCGAGGGCAGGATGAGGATGAAGAGAGCACAGCTGAATCAGAGCAAGAGAAACCACAAGCCCACCACAAATGTTCCCACCCCTCATTCACTACATTTAATTTTCCATTTGAATCTTTTCTCAAGCTACAAACAAGGTGAACAAATAGGCAAAAAGATACTTAGTTGGCTGGGAACCCTTAACTGTCTAAGTTAAACAAATATATCAAGTGCATATTCTTTTTTTAAGATCATACATCTAGATTAGCTTTAACAAAAAAAAAAACTGGCACTTACTCGTTCTTCATCTGCAGGACCTGGTCCATGGTGATTACCCCGGCACGCGTGAAGTTTTCGCTGTACTGGCTCATCTTGATGGACTCTAGCCACTCGGACACTGACCTGAAGGGGGAGCCATCTGACCCGCTGGTGCTGGGCAGCCGAATGGATACGCTGGGGAAAAGAGAGCAGATCCAAACTAATAAATAATAATTTAAAAGCTTTCCCACAACAAGAGAAGGATGAGTGAAGGCTGTAATTACTGTGCAGGAAACCAGTTGGTAATAAAAAACCGGTTGGAGGAGTGAGGGTAGGAGGTGATTAAGATCTAAGGAAACATCCTTTTGTCCTTTCACACTCTTTCAAAAGGAAAAATTTGCTTTCATGCATAGTATTACAAACTAAAGAGATCTCTGTACTTTGTTTAACATTTCTTTCCTGCAGTCTCACTCAACCTCAGCTGCTTGAATATCATTTTTATTGTTGTTGTTCATTAGATTCCCTTTTTATTGTTTATCAAAAATTTTTATCAAAAACTAAAACTTTTTTTTGGTCACATTACATAACATGAGAGAATGACACTAACTTTTTCACTCCAACCTTTTAGGTGGTGCCAATTCACTGAAAATGAGTTAACCACTTAAATTCACTTTAAGTGGGTTTTACTCAACAATAAAGTCCTGCATCAATGAACTCTGGACAAGAGAACATTTAAGCCCATGAAAAACAATAAAACCCTGACACCTGACTTTTATGCTCATTGTTAGTGAGAAAGAAAATCAGCATAAAATCACAAATGAGGTTTTGGTCAAAATAATGGAAATTTTCATTTTTGGTGAAAATCACTCAGCCCTAATGGAGAGCTACTCCATGAAACTTCATTAGACAAAAATGTTTCTCACAGGCCTTTTTGGCTCTTGCAAAAACAATTCTTACCGAGGATCAAAGTCTGCGATGGTCTTCAGTGAGTCTGGGCTGCGGAGGAGCTTGTCCAGCAGACTGACGATGTCTCCGAAGCGCGGCCTCTTGGAGCGATCCTGAAGCCAGCACTGAAGCATCAGCTGGTAGACGGCCGATGGACAGTCCATTGGTGCTGGAAGCCTGAAAGCCTCGTTTATGGCCTTCATCACCTGCAGACAAATCATCCAGGGTTTTTTTTAATTTTTTTTTTTAATGTAAAATATTCCCCATTCGGTGGAAAACAGTGTAAAAAAGATCCCTTTGGAGCTATGGATTAGGAAAAATTAGGACTTACCTCATGGTTACTCATATCCCAATAAGGTCTTTCCCCAAATGCCATGACCTCCCACATGACAATGCCGAAACTCCACACATCACTTGCAGAGGTGAACTTCCTGTAGGCTATTGCCTCGGGTGCTGTCCAGCGGATGGGGATTTTACCTCCCTGTTTAAGAAAAACATTAAGTCAGTGAAGCTAATACAAAAGCTAAAACACTAAAAATGCATGTAAAAACTGTCAATAATCTAACTTCATGTCAGCTGTCCTATGAGACGCCAGTAAAGTAGTAAACTGCATCATGGGTAAAAACGTACTGTATAAACTACAAAAGTCATGCATCTACTCACACTGGTGGTGTAGGTCCCCTCAGGATCGTCCTCAAGAACTCGGGACAGGCCAAAATCTGAAACTTTACACTCCAGGGATGTGTTGACCAGGATGTTGCGCGCAGCCAGGTCACGGTGAACATAGCTCATTTCAGAAAGGTACTTCATGCCTGCTGCGATGCCACGCAACATCCCCACCAGCTGGTGAGATGAGAACTCACCATCATGGTCCTAAAGCAAAAAAATAAATACAGATTTATTTTAGTTTGCAGCCATAAATAACTATCTTATATACTGAAAAAATAAAATGTATTGGTCTTACTCTCAGGTATCTATCCAGAGCTCCATTCTCCATAAATTCGGTCACAATCATTGCATGTTTAACTGGACAAAAACAGAAAAAAGTATAAGCTTTAACTGACCTACAATCAATGAGAAGAAAACATGGAGAGAAAGCTTTAAGTTGCGCTCACATTTGGTGACCACCCCCTCTAGACGAATGATGTTCTGGTGGGAGAACTGTCCCATGATGGAGGCCTCGCTCAGAAAATCCTGTCTCTGCTTCTCTGTGTAGCCAGGCTTCAGGGTCTTTACAGCCACCGCCACTTCTTTCTTCCCAGGCGCTTTCAGGATGCCTTTGTAAACTTCCCCAAACTCGCCTGTAGGTAAACATCATCAATTGGATTGAGAAAACAGATCTCAAAAGAATATGTGTGTGCATATTTGTGTAAAATGTTTTCTAGCTTTAGGGCCTGGCAGGATACAAAAAAAAAAATGAGGAAATCTCTGCGGCTGTTTGGCCTGAGGCGCTCCTATTGAGGTGTGCTTTGGCTCGGTGTTGAAAGAGATACAGAGAAAGAAGAAAGAAGCAAGATTGTGTAAATAGTTGACGACCTGTTGTGAGGGAGCATGGGAATCAGCTGTCACACGAGAAGGAAATGGGGCATTTGGTCGTGGGAGCTGGAAGGGTTCAAATGGACTTTTGGTTCAAAGGCTAAAGGTGGTCACACTTCAATAAACGCATCCTCAGTGAGAACCTTGTGCAAGCCCCAGTAAGGTGTTGTGAAGTTCTTCCAAAAAAAAAAAGGTGTGTTGGCAGCAATTTTTGATGTGTAACGTTCGTGTCAAATCAGGCAAGACATAAAGATGTCACCACCAGGAGTTACAAAACAAAAAAAACAAAGAAAAGAGGTTCAGCTTGTCGAGTAAGAAAAAAGCCGGATAGATGCTAATCTCCGTAAAGTAAAAGGCGCCCATAGTCTTTTAAGCTGGAAAATGTGCTGTATAAACATTGAATATTTTGGGGAGGGGGTCTTTGGTAAGACCTTTCAACATTTAGAGCTAAGAACCACAGCAGATTAACTTAGAAAAGCTGTCACTCACCAGCTCCGATGACTTTCTGTTTGGTTATGTGGCTAGGATGGATTTCAGTGGCAAACTTGAGTACAGCGACGTTGGGGTCCTCATAGGTATGTGGATCCACATACGTCTTCAGGGGTTTTAATTGTTCTGCAACCCAAAGATAGATGATTGTAATTTGACCAAGTAAGAAAATAAAAAATAAAAACAGTCCTTGATTTTTTATTTTTTATTGTTTTTTTGCTTGTATTTTTTACCAGGGCTTGAAAAGTAGGTGTCCTCTGGTCCTTGTCTAGTGTGTGTATCTCTTTTCCTGGGGAGAAAAAAAACAAAAACAAATGTTACTCGTTAAATAATTCGCCTGGTTTTCTATCACTTTAACATTCACATCCTTGAATAAGTGTTTATAGTCTTTGATCCTTTTTTTTCACAAGCACAAACGTCATAACATTTTAGTTCAACTTTATGATCTAACAAGCATGATAGGTTTGTTAGATAACAATATTACATAAACAGCATCATGAAGACCATGGTACACACCAGCCAAGCTATTCTCTTAACAGAGCAATGTATACCAAAAAAATGACAAAAAAATGGCAAATAAGCGAGAATGCACCATTCCATTTATGAAACAAGGCAGAGGCAGCATCATGCTGTGGGAATGTGTTATTAGCTACTGGGACATGTAAGATGAGGATGTTGCGAACATTGACCTTCGAGAAGGATAAGAAATAAAACAGCAACTAAAACTACAAGTAGTTGTTTAGTTCAAAGGATATTTTTGATTTGTGCCCAATCTTGAAGCGTGGTCTGTGCTATGTTATTCCGTCGCCACAAAGCAAGAGGGACAATCACAAACTAGCTGTGTATCTAGATACGGCCGAGTTGGCGAGGAAGTGGAAAAATGCAAGGGGCAAGTTTGTGCGACAACAGAGGGACATGACGGCGAAAAAGAGCGAGGATCCAGGTGGAAAAATTGTTATTTTCCACAATGGCGGTCATTGAAACAAAACAAGCCGGTAAGGTACCAAACAGGAAATATGCATAGTGTAGAGAGGATGTAGTTTTTAACCAATCAGAGGACTCCTGTCTGCGGTCACCTACAATTTTGGAGAGGTGCAGCAGAGTGTCTGAGGAAGGGGCGGGGGCATATCTGCGTTTATTGCACACACGCAGACAACCTGGTTTCTGAGCATAAAGCAGGCTTTAGAATGCCTAGAGTCTACATCTCGCTAAGCAAAAATCAAGAGCTCAAAAGTAATTTTAACAGATGTTATCCATCGAAACTGAATGAGTTTGAGTCATTTTGCAAACATATAGTCAAAAATAATCTGTTTTCCGAACAGTTAAAGTTTAACATGTCAAGTCAGAGATGAAAAGGATAGGTTTTCCATGACAACCATACCAGGAGACATGATTGAAGAAACAAAGAGTAGAAAAGTTTAATGCTATGACTATTGAATAGATCAGTATAATTGTTTTTAAGGTTCTGTGCAGTACATGAAAGCTCTAAACCCAGGAACGCTTTGTAGAGTGTTGGAGCCTTGAAAATGGTGCTCCTCCCAAACAACTGCAACAAACTTTAAAAAAAAATGTCTAGCTTTTGTGCATTTTCAGTAGCTCTGATCCAATGTATCCTTTCAGAGCGATCCCCTCGATAAAGCCTGTCAATAGGCTGTATTTGCTGAACCAATTCAAAGGCTGAAAGCTGACAAGGGGAAAGGAGGTGGTTACAATCTGCTACAGTACAGGCCAGGGTCACCCTCACAAAGCGCCCACGGCCTCGTACAAAACCAAGCAAGCGCCTCTTATCAAAAACAATGTGGCACTCATGTCTAATTTCCTTTCAAAGGCTCCAGCTCCGACTAGTTTGCCACCATCGAGCAATGACAAGACACATTCAGCAGAAATTCCTCCCCGGTGAGTGCTGGCACACAGTTCCAGATAAAGAGAAAAAGAAAGTGTGCTAAAGGAAGAGGGAAAGAAAGAGGTGAGGAGAGAGTGAATGCAGGGGCCATTTGGAGGCCCCACAAAGGAAAGCAGAAGAATAGAAGAGGAAGGCAATGAAGGATATCGTGTTGTGACAGATTATCGGGACAGAATAAGGAGTAGGTGCTGCAGAGTGGGCTGCTTACTCACCGTCTGTGCAGGCAATAGATGACTGTCAGTATGAAAACCATGACTCCTCCTGCAACCACTCCAGCAATGATAACAGCGGTCTTGTTAAGTTGTCCTAAAAAAAATAAAATTCACAGTTAGAGGATTCCCATACAAAAGCCAGTAAGTTTTTCCTTTAGCAGGTTTTTCCCTGTACCTTCAGACAACGTCTCAAACTGTTCCTCCAAGCTGGAAACTCCTTGGCTACCATCAGAGCCCAGAGCCTGGACCTTGACCCGGTAAGCCGTGCCTGGGGACAGATTGTCAATCTGCACAGAGTTTTTCTCCAGGTTCAGCACAACAAACGTAGGCACATCGGGTTTATTGTCCTAGAGAAATGAAAAAGTCAAACAACAAGCCCAGCGTTACTGCAGTATAAAATGGCTGTTTTCATGCAATCGTCTGCTCAGGGGCTGAGAGATGTTCAAATTGCATGTTTATTACACCAAACCTCAAAATGCATTTCCTAGACGCTTTAATCATGCAAATAGGGACTAAATCTAGAATCTTTCATTGAAAGGTTTGGTCAAGGACTAATAAAAGGTTTGCTTACCTTTTTGTGGTAAGAAAGCTGGTAGCGGATACGCTGGGACTGGACACGTGGACGGGGGAAAACATCCCAGGACAGAGACAAACTGGTGGTATCTCGTTCAACCAGACGCATCGAAGTAATTTTGGGTGGATCTGAGGATAAGAAAATGACTTTTGAGTATATATGCTGATGAATTTAAAAAGAAAGTTCATAAAGGAAAATATAGATTCCTTCTTGTAAAAAGTCACTCCTCTTACAGTTGCCTCAGAGAGAGCTTCAGATATTACTGCAGGATAGATAGCATCACAGTTCATCACCAGAACTCACCTGTGTAGTGAAGAGATGTATGCAGTTTGGCTGAGGACGGTGGCCTAAATGTGCTCGCTTTTGCCTGCTTGGCAAACATGGACACCCCACTGTGCACCTCCACAGTGAAGGTGTAGTTGCAGAAGGGGTCCAGCTCGCTCACTGACACCTTGGTATCAGTCAGGAGCATGTTGGGTGGGTCATAACGAATTTTCTTTCCACAAGGTTGGCAGGAAGAGCCCTCGTTGCACCCGCAATGCTGGCAATCGACGCTGTAGTTGATGTCAGTTCGACCGCCGGTATCCTCAGGGGGCTGCCAGGAGAGAAGGAGCTTTCCTGGGGAAAGGCTGCTGGTGGTGGCTTTTAGATCTCGTGGGGCAGAAGGGAGGCCTGACAATGAGAAATCAGAAAAAAAATTAAAATAAAGAAAGTATAAGACAAAGGACAGGAAACATGGTTTACATGTTTGATGTTTGGATTGGTTGTTAGTATCAGCAAAGCATTGGTTGTCAGTGGAGCAAATAAACATGCTAGACTGTTGTTTATGCAGCCTGGTAGTGTTAGGCTATGGTGTTTTATGGGAGTCTCTGTCTGTCTGGCTCCTTAAATTATAGGCAACAAAGGCTTTCTCTGTGCATCTCTACTTTTTTAGTGTTTGATGACATTTTTTGCTGTTATTCTCACCTGAACAAGGTCCAGTGATGGGATCCGTAACAGCCCGAAAGAAGCCATCCTTGCACGGACAATATGTAGCACCAGAGTTGTGGCTCTGGGTGTTGGCAGGACATGGCTCACACTTGCCACTGGTTCCCTCAGCTTTGAAGAAGCCTGGCTGACACTCTGCAAAGACAAAGAGACATTCACAGCAGATGATCAGCCAAAGAGGACAATGGGGACTTCTGGCAGCACCCTAAATGACACAGAGCAAAGCCAGTCTCTCCAGATCATTCAAGCCTCTTTGAAATGTTTTGAACTCTTCACCTCTGAGAGCAACACGCCGAGGTCGAGGGGACAAGTTATTATGTCACAGCTAAAGACCATATGTAGGCAGGTGATAGAGAGAAGGAAGGAAACCACCCGAGGCAGAAGTCTGCATAGTGTTCAGTTCACTCTTTAAAACTTTGTCAATTGCAATTAAAATGCTGCTCATTTAAGCCAAGCCCTGAAACAAAATCGTGTAGTTCCTTCCATGCTGCCACTCAAGCAGTTTTTCACACACTCTTCTTAATGCTGTTGCGGCTTTCTTACTGCCTCCGTCTCAGGAAACGTAACCAGTACATCGACATTCCACTACCCTTTGTCAGATTTCATTGCTAAATAAGTAAAGGTGCACAAGCAACTTAGCAAAGCACCCAAGCAGCCCTTTGGGTGCCAAGTAGCCAATTGTATTTATTTTTTTCTCTCAGAGACCCACATGGATTCTTTGACAACGTATCACCCATATAAGATGACATATAATTTCACACTATGAATTCTATATAAAGACAGACAGTACAGGTAGCACACTCAGCTGTGCATGTAATTCTGAAATATGAACATAATACAGTGTGAAATTTGCTTTGTGATCGAACCATCAAGGAGAAGGAAATTGAGCCGGCTGGCCTTTAACTCTGCGAGAGCATTCCAGCGGCTGCTGCTCACACCATTGGATGTTCACACAAACGCACACGCCAGTGTATGCATCGCACACACGCACCCACAGCCGTCTGTATGCACAAAATACACAGACATGCTTGCAAAGCACGCTAGGCAACACATTCTGGCATCAGGAGAGGGATTATGTCTACTGCCTGTCACCTGTTCATGTCCCTCTGCTTTTTCATTTCACCTCCACACATCTATGCACATACACACACATTTCCTTCTCTTATTTTTAGTTTTCTCTGAGATGGATATTCAAAGATATTGAGAATTTAAATGAGTGAGAGTATGTACACCACAAGGCAGAAAATGATAAACCAACATGCATCATATGAAACAGATCTTAAAGATAACTCTGGTAAAAGAGAGATCCGGTACTATAAAAACAGTTTGTGTTTAGCAAGATGAAAAAAGGTTTTCACTGTAAGTGATTCCTGGTGCAGCAAAACCCAGACAGGGTAAAGCCTTAAAACAGTCAATGAAAAGCCAACAGTTTGCGAGGTCAGATTCCAGAAGAGGCTAATTGGAAAAAGTAGAGCCAAGGACAAATACAATATCAGACTCGCACTGAGATACAGTCTTGCTCGCCCTTCAGAATGGCTTGCTTTGGAGAAGCTCATTTCGAAGCCACAAGTGACCACATGGAAGACGGAAAGCACATGGCTGCTGCTCATTTGAGTCATATCAAGGAGCTTTAGTTGATTGACCGTGAGCCTTGCTTTAACTTTGTTGGCTTTTTATAAACTTGCGGTTCACCGAGCTGACGCAGAGCATATGTGAGGAGGTGTGTGTTATCTAAAGAGCCTGACAACAATAGTGGCAAGAAAGATCGCTTGGCATGAGAAAGGTATGGATTTTTGGTCCAGAAGGAATCCATTGAGTTCAGGCTCCTTGCTTGACAGCATCTCCTTTTGTCTAGGGCAGCTGTTGCACTTATAAATACGTTTACTCATTAACACAGACTTGACAGAAGACAGGCAAGGCAGGACAGAGGCAAGACAGGGGAACAGAAGGGTTAAGAAAGGCAAAGAGTGATACTGTATCCCTCTGTAGATTGAAGTAAGAGGGGAGACATGCTGGGGCGAACTCTTGGTCTGAGTAGGAGGAACAGCTGCTGCCCCAAACCCTGATTCATTTGCCCACCTCTCCTTCTAGTAATCCCCAAATTCCTTGCTCCCCTGCTTTCTCTCCTCCCAGCTAACCCATTAACATTGCTATTCACCACTGAGCAGCAGGCAAGAAGAATGCCTTGCCATTCAAAAGCTGAAAGGAAAAAACATACAGACACAGGCGTTGCAGATGGGAATAACTGAAATGCCACTCGGCATCTGAATAGAGAAGGACTTGCCTCTTTTTGGTGTTACATTGCAAGCTGCAATGCATCGTGGTCAGGCCTTTGGTGAAGATGGCCTTACACTGTGTTTTGCCTCTATAATCAAGATGCATTCCAGAGCACACCACCCAACAGGAGGCCTGGAGCTCACATAGCTTCAGCTGCAGCCAAACTTTTTGGTTGCAAAGGTGAGGGAGTTTGTGCATCTCAAATATTCCAAATATGAGTCACAGCAAAGTAAGAGGATTCCTCAACAAAAAGGAGAGGTCCGGCGAAAGCGAGCTTCCTTGTTCCATGGAGACGCTGGACAGGGGGCTTTGGATTGTTGCTGGACACAACAGGAAACAGGAAGCATGCGGCTGACGCTGCCTTCCTTCCTAAAACAGCCAATCAAAGCTTGAAGCCATGAGGTACGAAAAGCAACAGAGTAACCTAAACGGAGGGTAAGAGTCTGAGACAGAATAATAACCAAAAAGGAAGCCAAAATGTGTTGACCCAACACGAACACAAGCACGAACCCCATATACCGGTTTCCTGAGATGATGGATCTCATAAACACAAGTTTCTGGGCGACTTTGGAGGTGAAAGACATTTAACAAAGTAAGAATAACCATTTTTGTATCTCCCACTTGTTACAAACAAAGAACTGTTTGTCATGTTAGGGGCCTGCGCACCTTGAGTGGGACCCTGTTTGTTTATAGAGAATGAGTGCAGGGGCCCATTACATTCAGGGAGCCAGTGTGACTCTAGAGCCTCTGAGGGCTTACCGGTGTGTCGGCAGAACTTAAGATGGATGAGAGGGCGACAGTGATGAATGCCCGGTCATATAGATGTATGAATGGGTAACATGGTGGATTGACAAGAGAAATCTGCCCCAGGACATGACGAATAAGTAGAACAAGGGGGGGGGCCCTGACAGTCAGGTCCGGCACTGAGCTTTTTAAAAGGCAGAAAGGTCGTGTCTGCCTCGGGGTGAGTTAAACTGTGCATGACTTTACGCAGAGTCAGTGGCCAAGTAAAACAAACACATGCTCGCACTGACGAGGAGGAGAGGCAGAAAGGTTAAAGTCAGAGGAACGGCCAGCGAGCTAAAGAGATGTTGGAAAAATAAAGCCAAGTAAGAAATAAACAGTGTCAGATCTGTATCAGAGTGGCTCTCCGGTCAATTCTGAGGGCAAAAGAGCCTGGCTTTGTCTTTGCACTCATTTATTTCACTTCCCCTCTTTTCATCTCTGAACTGCACAAACCCTGCCTGAAATGGCAATATGTCATGTCAGTCTGTTTATATGCAGGGTGACAACAAGTAATTAGCAGTCCGAGGGTACCTGGGTTGCAGGAACAGAGGGGGTCTCTGATGGGGGAGGAGGACCGAGTAACATGAGCCAGAGGCCATGGAGGTAGAAGGGGGAAGAGGGGGAGCAAGGAGCCATAAAGGTGTAGGGGCTGATGGAAGTGTGAGCGTGTGGGTCAAAAGGGGGGAGGGGTGTTGGGGACATTAGTGAAAAAGATTAGCTGACCAATGGAGCAGCTGTGAAGGCATTACATTTGTTTTACAATTGCACCCAGGCTTTCATCAGGGGTTGTTAACAAACACAATAAATTCCCTGATCCCCTTTCACCTCTTACTCCCTACGTTCCCTGGTATTTAGCGACAGGAGGAGGGATACAGGGAGTGAAATCTTCAGATTAAATCTGGGTTGGAAGGATCTGAGGAAGCCCCCCTGGTTGACAAAAAGCTTCCAGGGACCAGAGTTGAGCTTGTTTTAATAATTTCCAGAAAAACAGGCGGAAAAATGCAACAACATCTCACCTCACCTTCCCCAAGCTCAAATGCTGACGGCTGTCGGCTTCCTGTCCAGGGGAAGTGACCAGAACAGGACCAAATGCACCAATAAACAAAACGACTTATCAGGCAGGACAACAAAATGGAAAGCAGCTGAGTGAGGCCTCGCAGCGTTGACCGACAATGAAAAACCCTGAGCCAACGGGTCGGGGGAGTCACTGAGGGATTAGGTGACCTCCGGTTTCCGCTGAGGGCTCGTCCTGTTAGTAGCGAATGGTGGGTGCAGGGCTGCTCTGCGCTGGGGGGCATGACTGACTGATTGCGGGGAAGGAAAGTGCTGACCTCACACACCAGTGTACAATACAAAGCGCTTCACATTGCTCTGCACTCCCCACAACACTCACACATACATAAACACAGCCTTCAGGCTTAGGAATGTCACCAAGAGGAAATATGTCCCAACTTCCATGATAGAACTGACAGACACAGGCACGCTTGAAGGCTAAAAATGGTTAACAGTCGACTTTAGATGAGGGCAATATAAAGAGAGTGCAACCTGAACAAAACAGTAAGCTATATACATTTTAATCCAATAATCAATGAAAATATCAAACTATGGCTCAAACTAAACTATATTTTTTTGATAATTCTAGAAATAAAACATTATTCTTTTCTTCCTTTTGAAAAAAGAAAACTTTAATCATATGAAAACAGTGTCAAACCCAGAGGGAATTATCATCATTATCAAGTTAATGCTGGTTATACTCCACATTTATAGCCCCAAAGGTCGGTTATATCACCAACTGAAGGCCGGTTACCAGAGCAGACAGCCTGACTTGTAATCTGCTTGTTAGTCTTGTAAAAGGCCTGTTCTCCAAAGAGCAGGACAACAAAAGGATATATTTCGTGCAATAAACAGTAGTTAACTACTAATAAGCTTAATGCATGGTCCCTTTGGTGAAAAAACTGTTATCTGAACATTTTCCACAAGGTCTCCAATAACTGGTAAAGTTGCGCCGATGCCATATTTTGGCCCCGATATCAATACCCGAAACCTGGCTGTAAAGTACTGGCCAATACCGA